AAAGAAACTGAATATCAGCTCAGTAGGCACCGGAGGCAGGGCCCAGAGGGGCTGCCCAGGGTCAGGAGTCCGGGCTGCCCCCTGTACACCCCAAATCCATATAACCCATTCCCCTCCCAGATCTGGGGATGGAACCCAGACATCCTGCCCATCCATAAATCAAGACCCCGCCTCGCCCTCCTCCTTTCCCCCCGACCCTCAACCTGCCAAGCACAGCCTGAGTCCCAGGTAATAGACACCAGGAGGCGGAACTTAGCCACTGTGAACATGATGCAACGCTAACTCTGTTCACAGGTGAGCTAAGCCCTGTGCCCTGGCTTCAGGAGCGTGCCAGGCCTCAGGATGGGTGCTGGGTCCCATCCTCTTCCTCTTCAGGCTTCCACAGTGGGTGGGTGGGAGGGTGCAGGGGTGTCTCCTTGGCGCTGGGGCTCGCAGCCGGTTGGAAATCCCTGGCAATGTGATTTTGGGCAGTGGGTAAAAAAATCGCATCACCAGGAACCCCAGCTGGCTGTGGCAGGGAGAGAGGGCTGTGGTGTGTGGGGCCACAAGGCCACATCCCGCAGGCTGAAACGACAAGAGAGGCAGTGGTCAGAACCAGTGGAGGGGACCTGGATGCAGGCCAGATGTGTGCTCCAGTGCTGACTCCTACCCCATGTGGAGATGTGACCACTTCTGGGGTGGGGCTGGGAGGAGAAGGTGTAGCAGCTGCTTATACAGGGAAGGGGCCTCTCTCCTGGCATGAGAGAGGCCCCTGGCATTGTTTCCAGTCGGGGGGCTGTGGAAATGTGGCAGCTTCACCCCTGGGTGACAGTCTGGGACAAGAAGTGAGGTAATGGCTCACGTGCCCCCTCCCTTCCCTGGCACCAGGCTGAGGCTAGCAAGAGGGGTGGAGGTTTTCAGTCACACCCATGTGCCTCCCCCCCCCCAGTCCCTGCTGCCCCCATGCACAGAACAATTGCAGGGAGCTGGGGTGTGAACCCTGGAAAGGGGGAAGGGTGCTGCCTACAACTCCCAGGTATGGTATGCATGCCCGGAGCAGCTGGGGGCACAGGGCAGACCTGGCAGCCTGCCTTTGCAGGTGCTACCTCAAGCCAGTCTGGAGGGCCCAATCCTGTCCCTGCCCCCCTCCCCCACTGCCATGGCACCCCACTGGAACCCGGCAGGGCACCAAGGGGAAGTGACTCTGCTTGCCGGTGACACTGCTTCCTAGAAGCTGGGCCCAGGGAACCGCAGCCCTCCCTGCCCCCGCCTCCGCCTTCACCCCCTCCAGCCCAGCCACCGCCAGCTGTGACTCACTTTCCCCGTCGAGGCCCTGCCAGAGCGGGAGTCCGGGGAGGAAGGAGGGGGATGAGGAAAGGGCTTTGGTGGCCATGCGCCCACAGTGGAAATGCAGCCACCTCTAGGGTGGGGCGCAAGAGCTGCACCAACACTGCAGGGATTACTTCTCCTGCTCTGCGGGTCCTGTTCCCCCACCCCAACTGATGGTCTGAGGGGACAAGGGGAGGAAGCAGGCAGCTCTCAGCAGTAATCAAGACAGGGCCCAGCTCAGCCCCATGAGTCTCAAGCCTGCAAGGACCACAGCGCAGGGACTTACTGGGGGAGTAGAGCCTGGGGCTAGGGGTGGGGGATCCACAGCAGCTCAGACAGAAGTAGGTCCCACAGATGCCTCTGTTGAAAAGAAGGGATAGGAAGGAGGTGAGTGATTGCCCAGGTGGTCAGACAGCTCCCACCTATCACCCCCCTCCCTCATCCCACTGGGTCCCAACTCCCAGGTGTGCTACCCATCCAGCAGGCATCCCAGCTCCCACATGGGAGCTCTGCTGTAGGACCCCCCAACTGAGCTGGGCATCCCCCCCTCAGGCCCCCCATTTCCTCACTGCTCCTCCCCCCCCATGACCTGGGTCTCCTGTTTCTGGCTTAAGGACCCCCCAAAATTGCCTCTCCCCATGGCTCTGAGCTGCAGTGAGCCAGAAACACTGATAGCAGGGAGGGGCCCTGGAGGCTCTGGCTTCCATTCACATCTATCAACTCTGTTGACACTGCTCTCCCAACCTCCAGGGACAGCCCGGGGCTCTGACTGCCCCCGCCTTGCACCCTTGGACCAGGTACTGCCCCCTGCTAAGACAATTCCTGCCCCACTTTCCCTCCACAATGCCCAGGGGTGAAGCCGGTGATCCCCAAACTGCACCCTGACAGGCATCTGAACTGATAGTCGTCATGCAGCTTCAGATATGCAAGTCACGCTAGGTGCTGTATAGACCCCAGCTGAGACCAGTGCCCCCATTATCCCAGTCACAGTGCAGACACAGCTTTTGGGGCAGAAGCCTGTCACTCCAGGCATGGCTAGAAGGGGAAACTGAGGCACAGGGAGGCAACAGGGCAGATCAATGTTCTCGGCAGGGCTGACAGGAACTGGATCTAGAGCTGCTAAGTTGCAGCACAGTCTCTAACCCAGCACATCTCGTCCTTCCCCACATCCTGTCCTGTGGGGAGGACATGGGACAGCGGAGAGGGGCCATGGGACTCAGCCCAGAGGAAGCAGCTGCTGTAACCCTGACAGCCTGGTTGGTCCACGTGCTCAGGGAGACAAACTTGGTGCTCTGATGCAGCTAGCTCTGGAGAGGACCCCAACTCAGATCTGCAGGAATCACTTGCTGCTGCATCTCAGAGAAAGGGTGTGGGGGGGAGCACATTGGCTGCACACTCCATGGAGCTGAAATGCAGCTGTCTGGGGTGGGCCATAGCTGCTGTTCCACAACAGGGAGGGGAGGGGGGTGAAATGCAGCTGCCATTGGGGTGCTACAAACACAGCCCGGGACCCCCAGCTCCCTCCTTCTGCAGCTGGGGTTTCTAGGAGCTCCCCTCTTCTCTGCCCCGGCTGGCGGGACATGATCTCATCCCTAACCCAGGTGCGGACATGTGACTCAGCCCAGGCGCCGCAGGAGACATGCACAGGCCATTCCAATTGCCTCGGCCTCCGCACGCTACTGCCAGGTGTTAAGACGTCCTACGGGGAAAACCTTGTAGCCAGGACACCTGTGTTCTCTGCTGTAGCTCCTCCCTAGACTCCCTCTTGCATGGGAACCTGGTGTCACATGTTTCCAGGACAGCTCAGTGGTGCTAAAGCCAAGGAAGACAATCCAGAGCAGCAGGAGGGGGGAGAAGGGGTTGGGGCAATATAGGCCTTATATGGCCCTTCAGACAGGACTGAGCCTGTGGGCACAAATCTGAGCCATGGAGCACCCGGATTGTCCTGTCCCCAGGTTGCAGAAGGGGAAGCAGAGGCATGGGATGGGGAGGAGGGACTTGATCAAAGCCATAAAACTCACTCAGTGCTGGGGCACCCAGCTCTTCCAGTGTGCCACACAGCCAACCACACACCAGCAATAAGACTAGCTGGCTCGAAACGGGCATCTCACGTACTGACCCCCTCCTCAGGCACTGGCTTCTCCTGGGGCTGGACACTGTGGAAGGAGCTCTGGAGCCCCCATTTCTAGTGGTAGGAGAGGACGGGGCTTCCTGGCTGTGCCCCAGAGCCCAAAAAAGCTCTCCCCAGTGGGACCCTGCACCCCAATCCCATCGGATGGCACAGAGTGAAGCCCCTAAAACCCCCAACAGGATTTAGTGCTGGCACCAGAGATGTGGGATCCTGGCCACTGTATGGGTGATTGCCTGGGGCTGAAGGGATGGTAAACGGAGGAAAAGAACCCAGGCATCCCAGCTCCCCCTTCGTCTGCTCCAACCTTATACAACACATCTAAGCTGAGCTGCGAGTAACAGCCCTGACTCTCAAGCCCCTGGCAAGCTGAGGAAGGGGACTGGGGTCTAGGGGAGTTACAGAAGAGCAGGGGGTGGGGCTGGGAGCCAGGATGCCTGGGTTCCACTCTTAGCTCGGGGAGGGCTAGTGTGTGACTCCAGACAGCTGGGCCAGGTCAGGCCACAGCCTGACTGCTACCATGAGCCCTGGGGTATCTATACTGACCCCTGGTAAATATAAAGGTCGGCCACCCTCAGGCAGCTCCCCAGACCTCAGAGCTGGCTCCAACCCTGCCCAGGCCTGTTACCTTGCCCAGGGGCACTCCTAGTGTTGCCCACTGCCCCCAGGACTCCCCTTCTGCTGCAAAGTGCTCCCAAAACTCCCAGGCTGGTGAGGCCTGTGCAACCAAATGGTCATGTCTAGATGCTGGAAGCCAGGATGCCTGGGTTGTGCCGCAGCTCTGGGTGGAGAGCGGATCTAGCAGGTCAGAGCTGGGGGCCAGTTTTTCTGGGTTCTCTGTAGGGGAGCAAATCTGTTCCTTGCTGCCCTGCTGTGGAGCTGACTTAGCTACAGCCTGGCACCCCAGTAGCACCAGCCATCACAGGCACTGAGACCCAGCATGTCCGTGGCAGCCCACAGGCATCAGGGGCATGAGGCACATCATGCATGCCAGCCAGCAGGAGGCACAAAGGTGGGACAGAGAGCATCTATGAATGCATGTGTGCATCAGGGTGACTGAGCACACGTGAGCATGTGTGATCCTGCCTAGGATCTGTTCTCTAGGGGCAGCTGTGCCTGGACAAGCCTTTCCTCCCTCCCAGTCCCCCCCCGGGCTGCCGTGACTTGCTCCCTTCCCCCCATGGGGAGGAGAGGGAAGCCCCAGTCCCACCCCAGATTATAAAATGGGATCAGGAGAGGGGAATCTGGGAAGATCCCAGCTACTGACATCCAAATCAGACCTCTTACCCCACTCAGGGTTCAGCCCAGGGCAGGGCCGAGGTTTTAGAGTGGTCCAAGAGCTGAAGCTTGCCAGTGAACCCAGAGCCAGACAACTGCCAGGGGTCAGACCAGAGGTACTGGGAGCACCCCACATCCCTGCCTCAGCCACCAACCCGAAGAAAGTCCCTCAGTGCTTCTGCTGCCCCCCACCATGCTGTCTGTCACCTCAGCAGCCTTCTGACAAGGCGGAAGGGGACCGGATGGACTTCTCACTTGCTCTACTGCAAGGTGGGGAGTCTCTTGCCATATGGGGCACTGCAAAGCAGGGCAGTTTTAGGGAAACACTGACAACTGCAGCACTGGGAAACACGGAGCCATGGCCTAAGAGGGGATCTTTGCAAGCCAGAGTCTCAGCAAGGGGCATCATCCAGTCCCAGCAAGGCTTTCTCCACAGTTCCCTGACTTTGCAATGAAAGCCTGACACAGTGGAAGAGCTGTGGTGCCAGTCTGGTTTTACTCATCAGATCCTGTTCCCACCTGGAAGCCGGCTGAGGGATCACCGCTGCCTGACAGGCACCACTCTGCCCTGCTTTCATTCCTGGCTTTGCTGAAGGAGCCCGGACCTCAGTCCCAAGGCTGCCTTTGCCCTCAAACCTCATGCCCGGGGGGGTGTGGGAGGGCCCTACCCTCATCCCCAGCAAACAAGGTGGCTGTACAGATCCCACCCACAACTAGAAAACAAAGGATTTTTTTAAGAGAAAGAGTTTTCCATTGGACTCATCTTGACAAAGCATGAAACAAAGTGATTCTGGGAATCACTCCCTCTTCCTCAATCCACAGCTTCATTTGATCCTGGTTTTCCAAAAAAAAAAAAATCAATTTCTTGCCACCAGCCCCCCTGGATCTCTCCCTTGCTGCAACCAAGAGGAAGGAAAAACCCTAAGATGTAGCACCCTGCTGAGCTGTTCTTGGCTTCTGGAAATGGAACATTTTGAGGACAAAAACAGCACTCAACACTTGCTTTCCTTGGACCTCTTCTGGAAGAGCCCTGCTGCTCTAGGTGATGTGCCTCATGGCTCCAATTATCAACCCAAACCCAGTGGGATTTTTCCACCACTTCCTTCCCACGGGAGGGTTTTTCTTCATCACTTCCTTTATGCAAAAGTGTTTCAGACTCCTTTTCTTCCCCAACAGTGAATGCAGGACTCCTGGGTTTTGCTACTGACTCACCGTGCATCCCCCGCCCCCTGCCCCATGCCTCAGTTTCTCTGTCTTCAATGGAAGCAGCGATGCTGACACATCATTGCCAAGTACTGTGGGGAGTCTCCCAGTAAAACGTGCCCAAGCCAAGAGCACTGTAAAGACGATGGGCATAGGCACGAACCGGCGCTAGCTCTGCCCATGGCAGGTGTGTATTGGAGGGGAAGATGCAGCTCTTACTGGGAAGTATGCCAGGCCTGCAGGGCTGGGCCCAACATCCCAGCCAGGTCCTGACTGGGGTCCAATCCTACTACCCCATGGGGTGGAGAAGGGCAGCTTGCCTGCTGGTCTGTCCTGGAAGAGACCAGAGCTGGGGAACTCAGCTGGACCTGACCATGAAGAGCACAGTTCTTGCATGCAAGGACCCCAAAACTCCTGGTGCCCCAAGAGCCCAGGTCTGTTTTTCCATCAGCAAGTCAAGTAAGTCTGTGTGGCTATAACAAAGAGAAACGGCCCAGGAGGGTGAGGGGCTGAGGATTTGGTCCTCCCCATGGCACAGGGCAGCCAGACGGAGCCTTGCTCTGTGGAATCAGGAAGGAATCCCTCCAGCTAGAGAATTTCAGCCACGTCAGGACTGTTACAGCCCTTCAGGCCACTGAGAATGTACAGCTGTTCTCTTCTCCTAGGCCCCAAGTGAGCAAAGCACTTGGACACACCCTGGACAGGGGTCTCTATGAGGAGGGGAGGCCGGCTCCATTGCTGTTCAGCTCCATAGTCATAGCCCAAAAACACGGACATAGCATTGCACAGATCTGTTCACAGCACATACATAGTCATGAATCTTCCAGGGGGAGGGCTGACTATGTATATGTATACATATACACACACACATACATACATATATATACACACATATATGTATACATATACATGCATAAGTATATGCATATGTATGTGTATATACATATACACACATATACATGTATACATGCATACACAAGCGTATACATGCATGCCTATATGTATAGGCATAGCCATATGTGTGTATATGCATATATGTATATGTAAATGTGTGTATACATATGAACATACATATGTATATGGGTACATACACAAAATATATGCAAACAAGATACATGCCCAAATACCCCCACACACATGCATGCATACACACACTTTCCAGACATGCGTGGGTGTGAATTAGAGCTGTACACATCATGGCTCTTTTTCAGTTCTCAGTAATTCCAAGAGGTGGAGGGGGGAAAATAACATTTTAGGTCCACCTGAAACTTTCTTTTTTTTTTAATCCAAGCCAATCAAAAAGTCAAAATAAATAACTGCTGGGGTCAAACACAACATTTTGTTTCCCTTCACTTCAAGCTTTGGCATCCGTTTTAAAATTAATTTTTAAATGATTTTCTCTCTTCTGGAAGGAAGTTGCAAAACAAAAAAAGCTGCAAAGAAGCATAATAATAATAATAATGCTTCATTTTGCAAATCTCAAACCACTCAGCCTGGTTTTCCCCCATCGCCATGAGCCCATCTGGGAAACTGCAGTGAATTCACAGAGAATTTTGGTATCGCCTGATCTTCATTTCTTTTAAAACAGGAAAAGTTTCGGCCAAAGAATTTTGCAGGCTCTCTAATAGGACTGGCCCATGGCGTTTGATATAAGCTGCTGATCTGGGGTGTGAGTGAGAGGGAGCCCAAGCCCAGATTGCTTGAGGGGAGCTGGGTTTCCAGAGGCCTGGCTTTCTGTACATTCCCCAAACAGGCCCTCTCAAAGAGGCATCTGCCTGGCGCCTGATACCTCAATCCCTGTGGAAATTCCTGCCTCACATGTGGGCATAAACTCCAGCTACTGTAACCAGGCAAGGTGTCGGGGAGCTTTTGAGCTTCTACTTCTCACCTTCCCTGCCGCTACTCTGTGCACCCCCAAGCCCTGTTGATGGGTGGATTTTGGCGGGGAACAGGACTTTGAAAAGCAACAAGTCAGCTGCTCTCAAGTGTAAAAAGAACTCGAAGCCGCTGGTGCCACACGTGGGGCTGCTCCAGGGCGTGTTGTCCGCTAGAGGCAGGCAGGCCTCTGCACCCAGGAGCCCGTCTTGTTAGCCCAGTTTTGCAGAGGGGAGAAAAACAAGAGATGCAGAAAAGTTCCACAGTGAGTCACAGGCAAACCCAGGACAAGAGCAGACAAGACCGCCAACAGTTAAGAGAAACCAGCCCCCTGTGCTCACCACAGTCTGATCCTCTACCCCTGACCCTGCCCTGGACTCAAGACCTCTACCCATTGCAGGAGCCCCAGGAAGAAGCATGCACCCCTACATACACCGGCTCAACAGTGCCGTTCTCGGCCCCTGCTAGGCTCCCCCCTCCCTGGTGACATCACTGTAGCCATAGCAATGTGCTTACTTCAAAGGGAAAAGGGTGGAAGGAGACCAAAAAACACGGATAAACAACGAACAAGTCAATGGCAAAACAAAGGGCCTGATGCTACCCAGGGGGGTGATAAAAGTTTAATTGCCGCATGTTTGGGAAAAACCTGCCTGAACTCACTCGAAACTTGGAGGGGAAGGAGCCAGCTTAGAGCAGGCCCCAGGACTCCTGGGTTCTTGTCCCAGTCATGGAAAGGAGCAGGGCTTGATAGGTCAAATGGGAGCCTTAGTCAGGATGGTGGGGTCTCGGCTGGGCTCTAGGATGGTGGTGGTTGCTAGAGGGTGGAGAAGTGGGGACAGGGTGGCAGGACACCCAGGTCTGTGCCCAGCTCTGGGGGTCAAATGGGGCCTTATGCTCAGAGAGGGGGCAAAGATGCTGGTGCTCCTGGGTCTAGGAAGAGAGCATAAATCAGGGAGTTACAGCCTGCGAAGGGGGAAGCCTTTAAACCTGGGGGATCCCTGATCTCTCTTTGGTTACTGACCAAATCTGCAGTGATGGGCATTGCAAACGCAGCATGTGTGTGCCGAAGAGGAAAGACTTCTGCTCCCAAACGATATGCTCCTTCAGCCTCCGCTCAAAGACTGCTGAAAACCAAAGGGCAGGTTTTAAGCTTGATCCAGAAATGTTTGTCCTGCCTTGACATTTCTTTTCCCCCAGAGTTTTATAAAACATTAATTGTATTCTTTATTTCACTGCTTCTTTTATCAGTTTTAAATCAGTTGTTAATCTAGGATCAGGATTCGTTTTACTAGGCCTGGCATTTGCTCTGTGTTGGAGCATCAATGTTTCCTTGCTCTTTTTATATATTTATTTTTCCTTTCTTATATATTTATTTCCTTTTCCATTACAGTTTTATTTAATTCTTTATATCAGTTTTTATCTTAAAATCATTGTTTTATTTAATATTTCATCTACTGACACGCTAGATTTTTTTTATTTCAGTTGTTCCATTTATTTTTATTTTACTGATTACTTTTCAATTTATTGATGTATTTTTCATATTTCTTGTTTTTTTAGTTTTGATTGTTTTGTTTCCACTTGTTTTATTTTTTGTTATTTATCTTTTTATTTAATTTATTATTGTTATTATTACTATTGTTGTTTTGTTACTGTTATTGGTATTTTTATTGTTATTGTTATAATTTCTCTCTGCTGTCAATGGTTTCTCTGTGGTTAGGTCTTAAACTCCAAGAAGTTATTTGGGAGCCGGGAACAGTGGAACTGAAAGTGGGGGGAGTGCAGGCAGGAGACTGAAAGCTGCCCCTGGGAATGCAGCTCTCAGGGCAAAACAGGGCAAACTTGCCCCCACGGACAGTGACATGATCTGTGCCAGAAAGCTTGACTGTGGAGCAGGGGAAGGGTCCAAGCCTTGGTGGGGGTGAGCTCTCCTGAGAGAAAGGTGCAAGAGGCAAAGGGAGGGTGAGACATGCTCTCCCTCTGCTTGTAACCACCCAGCCCTGCCCTGAGTGCTGCTCGCTTAAGCTGGAGGCACTGGCATTGCTCAGGATTGGGCCCACAGAGCAGGGGGGTACCAATCATCCCCACTGCTGCCTGGCAGACACAGGGGGCATGAATGGGAAGGGGGGTGAAGAAGGTGGCACAGCCCTGGCCCCCAGTATATGCACAACTGCAAATATCTGTTGTACTCCCAGATGTGGGATGAGGCGGCCAGCTGGATCTTCAGACTGGCCCCCCACAGTTTCCCCCCAGCCTCGAGGCAGAAATGCAACAGAGCGATGCCAGCTCCAGCAACCCCACCCCATGTCAGCTGGAGACTGGGCCCATGGAGGCCTGGGAAGCAAAGTCAGTCTAAGCCCCACTCCGGGCACCTGGCCCCTGGCGTCTTCACAGGGGTGAACAGAACTGGCTCCCTTGTCTGGGGTTGGGAGCTCCCTGCTCAGCCCAATGGCGGCACTGATGCCCTAGAAACGTCCTCAAAGGCCTATGCCGCCTATGCCCGCTGTGCTGGGACAAGGAATAGGCTGTGGGGTGAGGCAGGGAAGGGAAGCAAGGGACTGCCATGCCTTGGTTTCCCCTTATACCACTGACGCTGTGAGTCCATGGGGGCAGGGTGTGCTCTGTTCGTGCTGGGCCTGGCATGAGGGGCCTCTGATCTCCCTGCTTTGTTATGTGCTGCCACGCAGCAGCCTCACAGTGCCTGCATCCTCAAGGTCACCATGCCTTCGAAAAGCTGAGTCTAGGTCTCCCTAGCTGGCGTCCCCCACCCCCCTGCCAACGAGGCTACTGTGGAGAGAGAGGCCTTGATGCTCGTGGCACTGGTAGAGGCAACTGTGCCTTTGCTTTGGAGATCCCCAGCCCTTATTCAGGGTGCCCTGCAAACAGTTGCCTTCCCCTGTGTGTACAGAACAGGGCGTGGTATTATCTAGCTAGATAGAGCATGTACACAGACCAGGGGCTCTCAATCCCCTTTAGGCTCCAGGCACCCCTTATTAGACTCCAGGGCCCACTCTTTAAATCCAGGACTCCCTCGTTAGACTCCAGGCCCCCCTCAGAAATTGCCAGATCCTATTTTTGCTTGTTTTTCGACTTCAGAAAAATACTAGAGCAGCTCTTCTGTTGCAAAGAACTCGGCAAGACCCAACAGGGCAGAGAAATTTTAATGCTATGGCTTCCTATTTGAAACCTCTGGGCTTAGCTTGTGAATCAGATTTGGGCACCTGGTGTTATATGGCACCCCATGGCACCCTTGGAATGATCTCAAAGCACCCGCTCCAGTTGAGAATTGCTGACTTAGGCAGGTGGATGGAGGATGGGGAGCCACTGGAGGGAAGTGCCCATGTATACACACACAGTCTCACTTTACTGATGCCCACACAGTCTCACTTTACTGGTGCCATAATCTGACCCTTCCCTCCCTAGTTTTTAGGAAGATTCAAGACTAGTCTTGAACCTAGATGGTGAAAGATTTCCCACCCCTACACCCCTCCAACTCCACCCCTCCAACTCCACCCCTTGCTCACTCCCAAGGGCAGATGAAGGGGCCTGAGTTTGGGCTTCTATTTAACTGAAGTGGTCAACACTGCCAGCATTACCCAGCCCTGCCAGGGTCTGAGTAAGCTCCTTGGGGCAGGTATCAATGGTTTCCCCTGGGTCCAGCACCAAGGAGCCTCTGCCTGTGACTGGGGCTCATGGGTCCTAATTACAGGCCTGCAGATCTGCAAAGGGGGCACTCAGGGCCCCTGCTCCCATTGTCACCATCCCGTGGAGACCCACACCAGGTAGGGGGATTTGAAAGAGGATGCCTGGGTGACAGCCCCCAAACTGTCCTGGGAAGGGAAGACAGGGAGCCCTTAATGGACAGAGATGGAGGGAGGGAGATGTGCCCCAGCCCCCTGCCAGCCCTGCTACTCTCAGCCCAGGGCCCTGGCAGGTCCAAGCGACTCAGCCATCCCTGGCGTGCCCGGGGCTGCAGCTGCACAAGGGGGCTTTGTTCCAAGAGCAGGGTCATGGCATTTCGCTGTTGGCGTCAGCAGCAGCATGAGGCGGGGGCTGCAAGACAGGCTGCTGCCCAGCAGTGACGGCAAAGAAGGCCCTATGTGGGGTGTGGCAGTGTAGAGCAGGGCGGGGTTTGCAAGGCAGGAACCCTGGGGTTGGAGGCTTGGCCTTAGAAGAGGAGTGGGTTGCAGTGGTTAGAGCAGGGTGGGCTGGGGCTCTGCACTCCTTCCCCAGCTTGCGGGGAGAGTGGGTTCCATGGAAATCAGGACTCCTAGGTTCCCTGCCTCATTCTAGGCTGGCAGCTGAGTCCTCCCTGCTCTAACTGCTAGACCAACCTCCTACTTGCTCCCTGCTCTTGCCTCAGTTTCCCCTGTGTTCTGGGTGGTGGACTGCTAATGCCCTGAGCTCCTGGCATGGGAGGCAGATTATCCAGGCACCCCTGTGTTTGTTCTGATCCCTTTCAGCTTCTAATTGAAGTGATATTGATGCTCTGCAGGCAGCTGGGTCTGTCCCCAACAAAGCCATCAGGTAGTTCTGGTCTCAGGGCATCCTGAGAGCTGCATGTCCCAGATGTCAATGGCAAGACCCTGCTAACTACAGGTCAAGCCTGAGCAGAGCTTGGACCCAATGCCCACTCCTGTCTGAGAAGCCGGGCAAAGGAGACAGGAGAAGAAGTGGGGGGAACCTGGGGACACATGAACGTCAACATCCATTTTTCCAGAGCTGGAAGCCACATGTGGGGGCCAGGCAGTGGCGTCCCAGCCTTGGCCCTTCCAGCAAGTACCGACTCCATGGCTCAATGTGAACCCACCCGGGCATCGGGAGCTTTCCAAGCTGGATCTGAATGGGGAGCCCCATCTGCCCGCACATCACAAGGATGCATGGCCTCCTGCCCTAAGGGGCTGGCCTGTGCATTATTCACACCATGGCAGAGCACGTGTGTGGGTGGGTGGGTATTCCCATGCATATGCACACACACACATGTGTGTACACACATGCTCATGGCTTTATTGGCCTGTTTCCTCAGGTAACTCTTCCTCTCCTCCTTGGATCCCCGGAGCAGGTCAGTGAGGGTGCTGGACAGATGTCACTGAGCCGCAGCCACCCCGCAGCCTCTCCCTGCTGAGATTTCAGCTCTGAGAAGCAGGGAGAACCATCGGGTAACTCTCCCCCATCCCCAAAGTGGACATGAGTATGTGGCATGCGTGTGCATGGACACGAGTCCTGACAGCTTACAGCCCCACCCAGGCAGTGCTGCAGAGAAGGCACTATCAAGCTTGGGTGCTGGGGTCCTATTTGTGACTCTAGGAGGGAGTGTAGTTGTGGGGTCAGAGTGCAAGGGAAGGAGCATTGGAGTCAGGACTCCTGGGATCTCTTCCAACACTGATCTGGCTGGTTAAACTTAGGTGAGTAGTTAGGAGTCAGGATTCCTGGGTTCCAGTCTCAGCTCTGACAGAGATGGGGGGAGGGATCTCATACACAGAGCAGGGGAGGTTGCACCCATGGGAGCAGGGCCCCAGCAGTATCACCTCAGGACAACCTGGCCAGGGAATGAGCTCCCATACCTCTACATGGGTAGAGACCCCCTCTTTGCACAGGGCAGGCAAAGGTTTCCTGCCTCTCCCTGAATGGGGGATGACCCCCCACGGCCCAGCACTGAGGGATGGATTCTGCCTTTTGTCAGGCCAGTGAGTCTGGGGCAGGTCCCTGATCAAGGGGGTTGGCGACCAGGGCTGGGTCCCTCTCTGCTAGGAAATGTCTGCCCCCTATTTCCCCTGGGGCATGAAATCAGGGCAGCAAGAGTACCAGGGGTGAAATACAACAGGCCCGAGGCTGCCCAGAGCTGTCCCCCCTACCCGGCCTCATGATCCCCACACAAGCCAAGGCCGAGGGGATTCACCCAGGTGAGGACCACCCCAGGGTTGAGAGTAACTGAAGATCCCTGTGCACCAGGTACAGACAAAGCACTGGGCCCTGCTCCTGTGATGGTCGGGCTGCTCAAGCCAAGGGAGGCAGAATGGCAGCTACTCTCATCCTCAACGTCATGAGAACTGTGGGTAACAGTGCTCAGCACTGTTCAGTATCAGGGCTGTCCCTTGGAGACTAGAGAGCTAAACTGGGCTGATGGCTCCAATGTGCAGGGCAGGGCCCAGGTCCACAGGGGGAGAAGTGTCCAGCTCCAGCACTGAGCCCCCAGGGCACCAAGACATCTGGGTTCAACTGGGCAGGAAAGGGGCACTTGGCTGGGGCCCCTGACACCCTGCCACACTGAGGCACTCTCTTGCCAGGAAGGCCTTTGTGCTGACGCGGCCAGCAGCTGAGGGAGGAGGCGGCACATGGCAGGCACAGCATGTGGGGCAGTGTGAGGCCGGTGTGGAGGTTCCTGGGTTTGAAGTCTAAAGCGGGATGGCAGAAGGAGCCCCCACAGCCCAGAGTGGGGCAGTCCCTGGGGGAGCTCCGACCTGTGACACTCACATGGGCATGGGAGTATGCA